AAAAATTATTAGTTTGTTACTAATTGAATAACTAACTACAGAGCTTCTTACTAAAATCGTTTTCTTTTATTTCTATCTTTTTTTTTTTTTTTTTTCTAACACTTCGTACATGGGTACATGACGCCATTTTGACTGATAATTGATGCTGCGTTTATCAGATTGTTTTTTTTTTTTTTTTTTTAAGAGAAAATAAAAAAAAACGCGAGATGAATACGAATGGGATTATGCCCTTTTTTTTTTTTTTTTTTTATTACGACGAATGTTGATTACGTCATTTCGTATTTATTATATGCACCGTCGAAAAGTTTTTTTTTTTTTTTTAAAAAGGAAAACAAAAACAAACAAATTAAATTAAACTAGTTAATTACGAAAACGCATTACGAGACTAGTAAGAATAATAATAATAATAATAAAAAAACGTTATCTAAAAAACAAACCGTAGAAAATTTAACGGACAATTCAACCTTCTTAGATAATAATAATAATAATAATAATAATAATAATAATTATCATCCCAAAATTTATTTATTTATTTTGGGGAAGGGGGGGGGGGAATTCACGAGGTGATAACACCTTTTGATAACCTTTTCGACGAATGAAAACGTAATTTTTTTTTACACAATGAGAAAATAATTTAAATCCGTTTTATTTTGCCTTACAAGCGCGGGAATTTGCGCAAAAAATTATCGATCGATAAATTCGAGATATCGAACGATAATATAAAAAAAAAAAAAGTTATCTCAATTAAAAAAAAAGAAAAATAGAAATCGGGTATTTTAATAATTAGAAAGTTTTTGCCCAGAGTTTCGAACGAGAAATAATAATAATAATAATAATAATATTGTTTTTTTAAAAAAAAAAAAAAAAACCGAACAAACATTGTTTAAAAAAAAAACAAAAATTTAATTTCAATTTAATTACAATTTAATTTAAAACGCAATCAACAAATTTTCATCATCTCTCGTTTAATCTAATTTAAATTAATTTAAATTTGAATTTTTCTTGTTTTTTTTTTTTTTTTCGTTTTTTTCAAGGCACGCTTCTCTCCAAACTTAATTTATTATTATTATTATTATTATTATTATTATTATTATGGTCACTTTTAAACACGACAAGGCTCTTATTTGTCGGGGTTTTTAAGTATTTATCCCAGGTTTCTACCCGACGATTCCTTAGGGACAAATACTCGAATTTCGGTGGTGCTACTTATAATATTTTCCGAAGAATGTGGGCTTGTCCCACATAGTGCGATTTCCTGGATGGTTTCTTCCTTTAGGTTCTTATTATTATTATTATTATTATTATTATTATTTTGGATAATAAAAAAAAATTCAATCGTTGTAATGGTTGATTTTTAACCGCATTAAATTTAATAAGTGACCTCAGGTATTTGTTTCCTATATTTCGAAACTATATTTTTAACAAAAAAAATCAAAAAAAACGTGCATCCAGAATATCATCAAATTGTAATTCTTATGGCAATCGTTAAAAATAATAATAATAATAATAAATCCTTTAATTTTTGTTTTCGTTAAAACGGGAAAAAAGTAAGGAAGGGAAAGCCAAAAAAAAAAAAAAATATTTTGAGGGCGAAACCCTGAACGCTCCTTCGTGATTATTACGCGGTAAAAACCTAAATAACGATCCTAAAGTTTTCTTCTGCTTTTATTTTCAAATCTATTATTTTTTTGAATGTTACATTAATAATAATAATAATAATGACGATAAATTTATAAATCCTATTGAAATAATAATGGGGAAGAAAGTAAAACGAGAGGGAAGGGAGAGGGGGGCGGATAAAACGTGGAAGAAACCAAAAAAGGCATAAATTTAAAAAAAAGAAAAAAAAGAATTTCGTTAAACGTTTAACTTATGACACAAATAATAATTTACATTAAACGTACCTAAATCACTTTTATTTTCTTTTTCGTTCGTTCATAAAAAACAAAATATATTAAAATTACGTTAATGGTTATTATTATTATTATTATTATTACAAATTGAAAATTGCTTTTCATGTGGAATTCAATTCTTAAACCCTTGGAGGGATTTTTTTTTTTTTTTGGACTGACTCTCTGGAGGAAGAACGAACGCTTTAATTTTTTTTAAACAATTTTTTTTTTTAAGGTTTACATAACAGATATTTTAGGCTTATAAAATTTGACCTAAACAAAAAAAAAAAAAAAACTAGGCTCCATCAAACCAACCTCTACACACTATTAAAAGTTACCTCATACTTAACCAAGCCCTACCTCCCCCCCTGCTTCTTCCTTCCCCCTTTTTTTTCTTTCTCTTTTTTTTAATGTTTTTTTTTTTTTTTTCGACTTTTTCCTCTTTAAATTTTTTTACTTTTTGCAAACAAACAAATAAAAATCAATTAAATATCAATAAACAATATGACATACAAAAACAATTCAAAAAAATTTTAAACAATTTGATTGAAAACAAATTGTTTGTTTACCCATTAATTAACTGAAGAGAGAGAGAGAGAGAGAGAGAGAGAGAGAGAGAGAAAGAAAATTTACATTCGGCAACAATTATTTTGCAAACAATGAAATACAATGATTAATAATCAGGTTTATCCTCATCACGTGACCTCAATTCTTTTAAATTGTTTTTCATTTCTTTTCTTACCCACTTCCTTCACCCTAACAACCCATTCATTCGTAAAAATTTTTTCGGGGCCCCCCTTTTTTTTAAACTCATTTTCCTTTAACGCTCTCACAGCCTTCTCGTAAAAAAAATTCTTAACGACTAAATAACGTTTCGTATAATAAAAAAAAAAAAAAAAAAAAAAAAAACGCAATTATGATTACGTAATCGTGAACAACAAAAAAAATTAATTAATCTAAACGGATATAAGATGGCACCCGATAGTCCGATGTTAACTTATTATCTAAACATCATCATTATTATTAACGTTAAATATTCTATTAAGTGACTCGTAGGTTTGGACATTTAATTAAATGAAAATAGCCAACTGGAAACAAACAAGCAACGGTTTCCATTTTTTTTTTTTTATTATTATTATTTTCACTTTTAATTATGAATGAATAATAATAATAATGAGTAAATATTAATTGATTTTTTTTTTTTTTGGCTCGCCGCTTTAAATTTTAAAAAATAAAAAAATTTTCACGATATTGAGAGAAAAAAAAAGAGAAAATTACAAAAAAAAATTTTCCATCGTTTACAAAAAAAAAAAAAAAAAAAAAAACGGTTTCTTTCATTCGCGTGAATTTTTTTTTTTTTATTTGTTGTTACACCTAATTGTTCGCCATTTATTCATAGGTAGAACTTTCTAATACCCGACCAAAATTGTGCTAAGTAAATTTACACAAGCATTAATATAAATAATAATAATAATAATTTGATGCGTTTAAATAAGTAATCAATTTTTGTTTTGAAAAAATAAGAAAAACCGTTTAGTCGTCAATATGGTAGAACATTAATAAAATTTTCTTTTTGTTTGTTTTTCTCGAAAAAACCTGCCTGCCTGTATACTTTATTACGTACGCGTCAGACTTTTTATTTACTTTATTTACACATATTTATCCTCTCTATAAAAAAAAAATAAATAAATAAATAATTATTTATTTAAATTTTTTAATTCGCTTTCATTCATTTAACTTTTTTTTTTTTTTTTTTTGTAAACTCGTTTGACGACAACAACAACAACAACGCCGCGCAAAGATTAAACAAAAAAAAAAAAAAAAAAAAAAGAAAAGTGAAAATCGTAAATAAAAAAATTATTATTATTTTTTCGAATGTAATTTAAACGAGGGAGGGGGGGGTTCCCCTGAAAATTTTTTTTTCCCCCCCCCCCCCCGTTTAAAAATGTTCACGTTTGATTTGTCGAGTTAAGGAATACCGCGTTATGAATAGATTACAAGAAAATATTATTATTATTATTATTATTATTCCAATTAATTAATAACAAAGTGAAAAAAAAAACTTTTTGAAATTATTTCACGTCCTCTCTCATCATCATCATCATCATCATTATTATTATTATTTTTTAAAAATAATTTTTTTTTAAATTCCAAAACGAACGAATAATGAAAGCGTATCGCCGGGATACTAAAAATGTTCAGAAAGTTACGTATACTAACTTGGACTAATTATGAAACTATTTAATATTAATTAATATTCACATCTTATGCGTTTTTTTTTTTTTTTTCGAATACGCGTGCATGCATTTTCATTTGCAAATACTATTATTATTATTATTATTATTTGGTCAACAATAAATATGGGTAACTATGGGTACATAACACACAAACACACCGAAAAGAAATTTTTTTTTTTTTTTTGGAAAACTTCCGGTAGAATTTCGTAACATTCATAACAAAATTTAATTTACGAACGATTCGGTGGGGATGCAAAAAAAAAAAAAAAAAGTAATTTGAAATGATTATTATATAAAAATTATCATTATCATTAATATTATTATTATTATTATTATTGCAGTTGACCATAAAAATTATATTTTAGCGTATCTAATTATTTTTAATCGACTTTTATCTATCTCTCTCTCTCTCTCTCTCTCTCTCTCTCTCTCTCTCTCTACTACCGCTAACAAATTTATTAAATTGTAATCGTTAATTTAATAATATAGAAAATGATAATAATAATGATAATAATAATGATAATAATAATAATAATAATAAAAATCGACCTTTAAATTTTATCATGCATTTTTTAGTAACTAATTTAATTTATCGAAATAAATAATAATAAAAATTGTGAGTTTTATTTAGGGAACGACATTGAATTCGTTTTTTACGAACGATTCGCCATCTTTTTTTTTTTTCTGCGTAAATTAAAATGGCGGTATTTTAAATTTGAACGTAATATATAACGTTTTCGATAATTTTCACATTGGAAAAAAATTTTTTATCGATTTTAGCATAATAATAATAATAATAACCGTTAATTTTAGTTCGAAGGTTGAGGGGAGAGATATTAAAAAAAAAAAAAAAATTAAAATTTTTTTTTACCTTTTTGTGATTCCAAAGAACATTTACGGACGGTTTTCCTCTTCTGAAATCACTTTGGTCGATGACATCGTCATGTATAAGAGAAGCAGAATGAATCATTTCTGCAATCATAGCAACATCCCTTTGGGATGGTGTGAGGCACCTAAAACGACATTTATTTATTTTAATTTTTGTTGTTACCGAATGAAAATTTTTTTTTTTTTGGGGAGGGGGGGCTAATTATTTTCTCGGAATGATTTTCAAAAAAAAAACGATAACGAGCAAGTTTTTTTAAAAAAAAAAAAAAGTAGCTTAAAATTTTTAAAAACAAAGAATAATTATGATGATAATAATAATAAGTTATTGAAAGTGCTAAAAGCAATTTTCGACGGCTTCCATTTTAAAAAAAAAAATTTTTTTTTTTTTGTAATGATGTAACATATAATGATGACCATGAAACTATGATAGGTTCACTGCAAACTTGTTATTTAAAATTGAATACCATCCATAAATAATAAAGAAAAATTATTATTATTTATTACTATTTTTCCTATTTTTTTTTTTTTTTTTATAAAAAACAATAAATGAAAACAAAGGACTCACTTTCACTTTTGCATTAAAATTGAATAAAAAAAATTGACCGTGAAAGTATTTATTTTACTACCACAAAAAAAAATAGAAAAAGAAAATCTATGCGATAGGGGCTCATTAAAATTATTAGGAAAAGTAAATAATTTTCGACTCGTTATTTAGCTTGATGTTTAAAAAATGTCGGAAAATGCGGAAAATTAATCGCGAGGAGGTCGTTGATGTGTAGATGTCATCTTAATAATAACAAAAAATAATTATTTTCTCATTGTAAATGGTAACTAGCTCACTGGGTCATTTAATCCATGCCTATGACATGATAAATTCAATGAAAGGTGGTGTACCTACATTCAAATAAATTTACTTTCTTCGATAAAAAAAAAAAAAAGGGGGGAGGGGGGGAAACGAATTTTTCATTTTGAACAGTTCCAATAAACGTTCGTGATATGTTAAATAATTATTTTACGATTGGCAAAAATAAAAAATTAAAAAAATTTAATGGAAACGCATGAGAGGGAAATGATTTTCTCTTTGACTTTACATTTCGTTTTGTTTTTCCAGTTTAAATTCAGGCTCTTTGTGCCAATAAAAATTATTTTTTTCATCATCAACCTTGTTAATAGATATTTAACGATAAATGCCAATGAGGAAATAAATATAACATGAAACGATAAATTTTTTTTTTTTTTTTTTTTTTTTTTTACAACGACCACGTAATTTTTAATTTTATGTGACAATTATTATAATTAAAATTTTTTTTTTTTTTTTTTTTTTTTAAATAAAAACTTTGTATTGATTGTTACGAAATAGAAAAAAAAAAAAAAAAAAAAAAAATCATTTAAAAATTTTTTTTTTCATGGGCATCAACCCCCATTGAGAAATTTCTTATTAAATTTTGCTTGGAAAATTTGTTTGAAGTAGGATAAAAGTGCAACTCTCGCAATGATTTCATTCAATGTCGTTAAAATATTAATAATAATAATAATAAACTCGTGGAAAAATTTTTTAATTGAAAAAAAATAAATAAATGCGTTGATGGTTTTGTCCCTGATTATAAATTGATAAGATTTTTTTTTTTTCCCCCCCCTTAAAAAAAAAAAAAAAAAAAAAAAAGAAAAATTTTTATTTCCGTTTGTACAAAGAAAAAATTTTTTTTTTTTTTAGGTTTTCAGGTATTCAATTTGTTAAACCTAATTTAAAATCGTGAACAATACAAAAAAAAGACAAATCAAAACCCCGAATTTATTCACGTTTAATAATAATAATAATGTTAAAATGATTTTTAACAATAATAATAATAATAATAATTACATTATTACGTAAAATTTATCGGAACTTATATTGTCGACTAACAATATGTTTAACAATTATATTTTACCGTAAGTGTTAATAACTAAAAATTACTTTAACCAAAAAAAAAAAAAACCTAATTGTAAAATTGTACTACTACCACGATACTACTACTAATTTAATCCATTTAAAAATAATAATAATAATAATAATAATAATAATAATAATAATAATAATAATAATAATAATAATAATAATTGACTTTTTCGATACGAGAAAAAATTTAAAATACAAAAAAGTTACGTAAACATTAAGTGGACGCCGGTGAATCTCTTTTTTTTTTTTTTTTTTAAATAAATCTATAATTTTATAGTCAAAGATTAATTTGACCGGTAAAATGGGGGGGGGGTGGGAGAGGGGAAATGAAAAAATGTTTTTAAAAAATAAAAATTGATAAACGTCAAATCGTTTTCATCCAAATCATTTCACCTTAGGGTTAAACATAAATAATTATTTGTTTACAAATCATTCACTCACTTCGAAATCACCATCACCATCACAATCACCGTCATCGTCATCGTCATCATCATCATGTTTCAACTTTTTTTTTTTTTATTATTTTTTTTACCTTGAATGCGTAAACGCATTCACGCACTCGCACGCACGCATCCAATCAAAAAATAGTTTGACTTCTTATTAAGAAAAAAAATAAAAACAAAAAATTTTTTATTTTTTATAAGAAAAAAAAAAGAAAGAAAGAAAGAAAATGGCGATGTTTGTTACAAATTTTTTTTGTTTACGAAAATATTTTTTTAAGATAATCCGCGATAATCCGCGATTAGGTTAAATATCATAATTAGAAAAATTATGTTTTCGACAATAACAAACATAAACGTGTGAGCAAATTTAATAAATCATAAAAAAAAATTACGCACGCGTATAAAAAGCAAAATTAAAAGCATTAAATATTATAAATATCTCGTTTGCCTTTTAAAAAAAAAACCACGTTAATTAAAAATAATAATAATAATAATAATAATAATTAAGATAATAATGATAATAAAAGGATGTGTCTCATCGTAAAGGGTAAAAGTACGTGTCCCACCCCACCTGTATACCGAATCACCTTCGAAGGATAACGATCTTTTTTAATGTTTATTTTAATAATTATTTATCGATAAAAAAATATATATATACGGTAACCTTGCTTTTGATTATGTTGCAAAACTTACAAATGGCATCCTCCTCGAAAATGGGGGGAGAGGGTGGGGAGGGGGAGAAACGTAATAAAATATTATTTTAAAAAAATCAAATCCGTAAGAGAACTTGTTTATCAATGATTCGGGAAATGCAACCGAAACCCACCCATTTTTAAATAATACCTTTCTTTCTTTTTTTCTTTCTTTCATTTTTTTTTTTTGTGACTTCTACGTTTACGTAAGTGTGTGTGTGTGTGTGTATCATTAAAAAAAAAAAAAAATTCACAAATCCTACTTTTCCCTCACGGGGTACATTATTTCATTCATTCATTCATTCATCATTGAGTCATTAATTTATATAACGATACGTTACATGTTTTCCACGAGAATTTATTTAAAACAAAACAATTATAGAATTTTTACTATTATTATTATTATTATTATTATTATTATTATTATTATTATTATTATTATTATTATTATTATTATTATGTTGTTGTTTCAATTTTAATGTTCGATTCGGTGACATAAACGGAACGGAAATCCAAAACGACATTTTTTTAAAAAAAATTTCCCTTAATTTCAATGACGAGTTTATCGTATTAAAAACCTACTACGACTTATGATTTTTTGGAATAGAGAAAATATCAGGCGTATATAAAAACGCAGGCACGCACGCATTTAAAATTCCACGATTCGCAAATTGTAATAAAAAAAAAAAAAAAAAAAGTAATTTATTATTATTATTATTATTGTCAAACCGCATCATGTTGATATCTATTATTGTTTTTTTTTTTTTTTTTTTTTTTTTATTGGTAAAAGTTAAATTAGTATAAATTAAATATGAAAAAAAAATAT